TGATTTTGGGCAAGTTGAGCAGTAAAATTCCAGTATTCTGCCGTCATGATCTGGACAAGTATTTTGTCCATCTTTGCCTCTTTTTAATGTGCACGATGCCTTGCCGGTAAACATCTGTAAAAAAAAAAAGATGGAGTGGTGTCAGTATTTAGGCCTTGCCTTTTAAGGCGGATCGCGCGCTACAGCGCTTCTCAAGCCACCCCAAGGAGCGCGATATCTTAAATATCGCGCATCTTAAATACCGTATATTCTGGTGTATAAGCCACAGATTTTATACGCAATTTTCCCTCCGATGTTTGGGGTGCGGCCTATACACCGGACATTAACTTACTCCCAAAAAGTTGAGATCACAAGCCGCGGCAAAAATCAGACGCCGTCTGTCTAGCTTGGGCCCAAGCTAGCCCAATTAATTCGCCAAGGGTAGGACCGGTTTAAAGGCCTAGTATTTGTCATTATACTCACTACAGTGCTGTACTAGGATTCCTACTACATTTTCTACGACATTCAAGTAATGGTTTGGGTTGTATAAATAATCATTTTCATAATTTTTCAATTTTGAAACACCCTGTTTCTGTTCGAAACCGCTTCGCTCAAAACTATAACAAATTACTTTTCAGAAATTTTCGGGTCCTCGAGGTCACACGAGTAGCTTCATTTATGATGTCCCAAAAAAACATACGTGGGCTAGTGAAACTTGCTGTTCGACATTTGGTTCCCGGTGGCTTGTACCATTTTAGAGAGAATATTGATACCGCTATAATTTTAGAATAATTAATTTATGCTATAAAAATATGAGTTTTCTTGAAGTTGTAATAATTATTTTACTCGAAAATAATTGAAGAAAGGCATACATCCTCTGTGTATGCGTTAACTTTGTATCACAAGATATTTCTCAAGTTCTGTTTTGTTTATAAAACGTGGTGCGTGATGATGCATGCCTCGTACAGTGGGCTGTGAGTAGTAATGACTTAGGCCTAGAATTACCAATATATTTAGCCTAATATTAGTCACCATAATTAGAATGATTGTTTAAAATAGATATATATACTCAATAAGTATTTTATTTTAAGAAATGGGGATTTCCCTAGAGCTGCCTAGCGCAAGAATACGTTGTTTCATTGCGGTAGCCAGAAGTTTACACGCATTTCCAGTCGTTTGTTGTTTAATAATCAGCCGAAAAAGATGAAATTTATTTATGTGAACACTTGTAAGTAATGTCAATGTTTCAAAATAATTAAAAACCTAACATTACAGGAATGGTTTGGAACTTAAAAATAGGTGACCTGGATGAATGTTTTAATATGCATCTTAAAGATTTTGTCATGCGTGGGGAGTCATGTTTTTTGCTGAAAGCTCGCCTAAAAAGCACAAGAAGAACGATTTGAAGCATTCCAAAAGCTTGCCAAAAATATCAAGGAGAGTGGTTTGTAACTTGCCTACGATTTTTAAAAGGCCAGGCCTGAGTATTACTATTAGTCTCATCTTTTCTATATTGCTAATGAGCTGCTGGCAGTGTCTGTCTAAACCAACTTAAAGTTTTTAACACTGGATGGTAGACATAGAATATTGCATAGCTTTACAGTACACAAGTAATATCAATCTAATTTGAGAGGCGTTTTGTTTTTTTCATTGACTGTTTACTTCACCATCCAAGAAATTCTCGTTTTTACGAGATATTTTGGCATGTTGACAGTGCTTCATTTAGAAAGTGATGATATGCTATTATATCAAGTCTCCATCAGAATGTTTATTGGATAATTTTCATTAGAACAACATACAGTACCATGTAGTGCTTTAGAGCATTGCCAGAATTTAATTGAATTAAAAGTAATCACAGGGGCGGATCCAGAAATGTCCAAAAGGGGGACCGGAAGCGGGGGCCGAAAGTTGGGCCGATTGAGACAACACTGTCGTAGGGGGTCTGGGGCATGCCCCCGCGAAATTATTGTGTTCTAGATGCACGAACATAACATTTGAGGCATTCTGGGCTATCAGTTTTTTCTTTTTCTCTCTTTTTTTTCTTTTTTTCCCTTTTTTTTACCTCCCAAAAGGTGGGGCCGGGGCCGGGCCGGCCCCCCCTAAATCCGCCCCTGAATCATGTTGTTCAAGCTGTGCACAAAGTTTTGACCAATCGTAAAATGTAATTAGCAATCGTTTTAATACCTATAATTATACTCATAATAATTGAATTCAAATGCAATAGTTTATCAGATAATTTAATCTTGACCAGGGACATAATTTGTTAAGGTCGTTGTGATGCATAAGTCCTTCTTTATATTTTATGTTGCCACAAAAGTTGTATACAATAATTAATAGAATAATTGGTATAAATTGCTAAAATGACAGTGAAGCAAAGAAATTACAATAGTTTGATGATTTGTGACCATTCATAGTCACATTTCCAGCGAATAGATGTTTGGCATTCACCTCACCAAAATAGGTATAATTATTTAATATTTAAATATTTACTGTTGGCCTATGAGTATATATATATATATATGAGTATATATATATACCTTAAAAGTTGATAGTTCACAGTGAGTAAACATTTAAATGCATTGAACTTTCTTAGTTGGTGATCGGATAGAATTTTGGAGAAAGTAATAAATAAAAATCTGATATGAAAAAATATAAATAAATAAAGTATGATATGAAAACAAAATCTTGTCCTTGTAAATTTTTAAATATAGAACACAGTGTCTAAATATATAAACAAGAAGATTGAAAGAAAAAATTACTTGGGTAGCAAGCCAGGGTATTAGTTTCTGAGAATTAGAAATTCCGTCCGACATTTTAAAAATTTAGGAAGTGTGTACAAAAATGTCAGAATTGACTACAATAGGATAATAAATGTTAACAAACGCAATGATTGTCATAAATGGTAATTTATTTTTAATTTTTCTCATCATGATAACCATTTTTGAAACAGACCCTCCTAAAAATAATAATAATAATAATTAGTCAATTGTGATGTCATCACTGGAACTCCAAATGTTATTTGCCTATTCCCACCGTCCAATAATATTTCTAATAGTGGACGCTTGTCTTGATTTTTTTTATGTTTTGTGCAAAAAAAAAAATTCATTATTTTTTCATCACTACAAAAACATTACGCACTGCCATAAAATTGAATTGTAATTTGAAAACTACTTTTGTAAAACAAGCTCAATTAAAACCCAAGAAAAAGTTATTTCAAATTCAGTATTAAGTATGAACAGTTAAGGAATCCTTGAATTAATGAAGCCTAGGCATACACTAAACAAACTGTAAGTTTAATAGGAATATTATAGACCTATTTTAAAGACTTAAGGAATGACATTAGATGTAGACCTACGGCCAGGCAGGGAGGCCGCCAAGGTCTCCTTTTCATTGGCTGTAGCCTAGACAAGCCTAGTTATGAATAATTGTACGACTACACACAGTCAGCATACTGATCATATCAATGGCAACCTATGACCGCTATAAAGAGTTATAAAAATAAACTACATTAACTCACAGCGATTGACTTATAAAGCAATTAGTAAAGCATGTATCGTACATTACCGCAAAATTATACTTATAATTATACTAGATTTAATGCATTCAAAAATTTTCTTCGGGGCTTGCAGGCCCTCAGGAAATATTTTCATGCATTAAATCTAACCTTGATTCATAAAATAATTTTCCTATAATGTACTATGCAGAGCTCTACTAATTGCTTATTAGATTTATAAAGCGCATATATCCACTGCAGTAGTGTTCAAGGCACTACAGAATGACAGATCCAAGCATTTCTGTGAACCTTGAAGCTACCAGAAAAGAGACACCACACACATCACTGCACCGTTGCAGGCAACTTGTAGGCACAAGGGCTGGCCTATTCATAACCCACAGGTGTTCAAGTAATGGGGTATGTAACTAAATCAATTAATTTAGCAAGCAAGACAAAAAAACAAAAACTACAAAATTACAAAACAGATTTGTCTTGAGAGCTCTTTTAAACAAAGCAGTAGACTGGCACTAGCAAATAATAAATGGTAGTTTATTACTAAGGCATGGAGCCGCAACTGCAAATGATCTGTAAAAACACAATACTTCGTTTCAGCTGTCTTTACCTAGAATATTATCTTATTATCAGCCAGTGTAGTCACCATCGTATTCGCTTAACTGCTACTGCTATGCAACCCATCATTTTGATTGTATCGGCCTCGCCCAGTTCAAATGCCAAATACTTTGTTTCCCTAAAGCTAAAACTTCAATTTTACACATGTCTTTCACCCATCAAGGACTGGTTACCTCTTATGATTTCCACACTTACCTTGAATTGCTCCATATAATAGTAAAAATTTGAAAGTACTTGTAAAGTAATTCACAACATCTCTTCCCAAAAACCTAATATCATACTTATACAGTATTATATGTGATTTTACTAGGCACTACTGTCAGGTACAAAGCATGAAATAATGAAAGTATGTTGCTATTCAAAGTTAGTAGGCCAGCACACCACCTCTTCAATTCTCCTACATGAGGACAATTGTTTGGAAGTTTGTGTAGGGTGTCCAGAATTTTTTATTTCCTCATATACTCTTTCATAATACAGTATTAACACTCTTTTGTTACCAAAAATAAACCTGAAATTTCAATGGTAATACTATCTCTACAGAATTGATTATGTTTGTCATGCAGTTAGTGTGCAATGAAATGTGAAAAGACCTATTCAGAGTTTGCGTTATACTATCATGTTTTGAATATCAAATATGGGTACCTCTGTTTCACCCATATTTGGGTTTGATGTAACACTTAATAAGGTGAACTGGGCTAGAAGCTGCTAATACAGAAATTGCACATTATATTTATTTAGTGTATATGTTGTTTACAGTTGGGTGTTATATAGCAAGTATATCTCAAAGCATTGTATATTTTTTGAAGTATATAAACATAGAGGAGATTATTTATTTATTATATGAATAATATGATATAGTAATACTGTATATTTATGCATATAATATTTATTTTCAAAGGTGTACTGGCAAATACATTTCGTGAACAGGCTGCCTCACAAACTGAGGACCGCAAGTGGATTTTATTTGATGGTCCAGTAGACGCCGTCTGGATTGAGAACATGAACACCGTGTTAGATGATAACAAGAAGGTAACAATATAAGAAAAATGTTTCTTAAATATTGAAATATTAAAGAGTCCACATTTTAAAATAATAATATTTCTTAATACAATTTATATCTCTAAATTATTGCAATTAATTTATAATTTTTTATATTTAAGTTGTATATCGGTGGAGGTGTGACTAGATGGTTAAGGTGCCCACCTTTTAATGTCATGATCATGGGCTCAAATCCTTAAAACTACACCTCAAAATTTATCATTTATTTAAACTTTTAGTTATGTCTGATGAGTGGCGAGATCATCCAGATGAACAATAAGCAGAACCTGATCTTTGAACCTGCGGACTTGGAGCAAGCCTCGCCAGCCACTGTCAGCAGATGTGGCATGATCTACATGGAACCTCACCAGCTTGGGTGGCGCCCTCTTAAGACATCCTACATGGAGAATCTACCGCCCTCTATCACAGAAGAGCACAAGGAATTAATCAATGACTTATTTGAATGGTTGATTGACCCATGTTGGGGTTAGTTTTATTCTGTTGATTTGCTTATATTTTATCAGAGAATATAGTTCTTGAGTCTATTTTTTAATATCTGATTGGATTATTCAAAGTACTGTACCAGGATAATTTATTTATTTACTTATTTGATTATTTATATGCATATTTGTTTATTTACATGAGGAAACTTCACCATTTACCAAATTTTACATTTTTGAACCAGGTTTTGCCGATCTCTTCTTATCTCTATTAATTACTGCTTCAGGGAATTTTGTAACAAGATTAACAGTGAGGCTCATTAGTTACGAATAGTTCATAAGAAGACTAGCACAATTAAATTAAAAACCATTTTGTAACTTCTAACATAAGTCATTGATTTTTAAAATTCAAAAGCATATTTATTATGATTTTTATCTGAAATTATAGCTAAGGTAATAAAAATGCCAAATTATTTTGAACAACAGGTTTTTAAAATTTTCCAGCCTGGTTTTTAAATACTATACTGGTAATTTATTGAAAAACAGCAATGCCTGCTGTGATAATGACTCTTAAGTAGAGGTATTCTTCTTTGATGTTTAATTGGATTATTGAGATAAGATTCTGGCAAAACCTGGTTCACCAACCCGCCTGAATGCCCTTTTAAAGGGTTTGCTGGTAAATGGGATAGTAACAGCATGTATATAAAACTACACTACACACTGCAGGTGAAATGGTTTGTTTTTCAGATAGTGAATTATCTATACACATTAATGAATTATCTACCAAGTAGTGTACTTAAATTAATATAATCTAACATGAACTGCAGCGATTTAGATAGAATACAGTAGTGCAGTATTTTATTATATTATATGAAAATTATATAGTATTGTTATAGAATTATATTAGAATGGAAATAAATATATGTATGTCAATATAATCTAACATGAACTGCAGCAGTTTAGATAGAATACAGTAGTGCAGTATTTTATTATATTATATGAAAATTATATAGTATTGTTATAGAATTATATTAGAATGGAAATAAATATATGTATGTCAATATAATCTAACATGAACTGCAGCGGTTTAGATAGAATACAGTAGTGCAGTATTTTATTATATTATATGAAAATGATATAGTATCGTTATAGAATTATATTAGAATGGAAATAAATATATGTATGTCAATTATTCTTCTTTAGATTTTATCCGACATGAGTGCAAAGTATTTATTCAGACAACTTCAATCCACCTTGTGCATTCATTAATGAACCTCTACACATGCCTAATGGATGAAATTGCAGTGTCTGGACAAGAAGGCCAAACTACAATGAGCAACCAACAGGTGAGTGAGGGCAGCACAAAAACCAAAGAGACCATTTTAAAGTTCATTTACTTTTTACAATGATTTTTATAGATATAATTTAATGTCTATTTCATAATTACTTAACTGAATGGCCCGATTAAATATTCCAATTTCCTTTTAGAAACTTAGGCCTACAGTACCTCGGAAATTTATGGAATCGTCCACTCCTTTTGTTAAAATTTTATAATACCATGTAGAAGAAATAACAGAAATGCATTTGTCTTTTTTAAATCAGATAACACTGTGGTTGCAAGGCCTTTTCCTATTTTCCCTTGTGTGGACCGTTGGTGGAACTTTAAACGGCGACAGTCAAAAGAAGTTTGATCAGTTTTTCCGTGTCCTCATCAGCGGCACCAGTCCAGAACATCCAAAACCAAAGAGCATCAAAATCACTAAGGTAAAAGTTGGCAAAAAGTATCTAATACACAGATGACTTTAAAAAAAAATACCGAACTGTTATTAAATGATTAGATCGTCTTTTTCTGTTCAAACTTAATGAAATCCTTCAATTATTTTTTTTCCCTTGCAGAGTAACTCATTCCCTGAGAGAGGAACTATCTATGATTATTTCTTTGAGAAACAATCTAGTGGAAAGTGGACAGATTGGATTGACTACATTGATAAATCTAAATCAGTATTACCAAAGGATGCTAAAGTAAGTATTACTTGACTCAAAATAAAGATGTTAGCCCAAAAGAGCTGCAATATAGTCGAGTAATAAATTTGTAACTAAATAATGATAAGAATATTCACTTTGTAATATCTCGGTTCACAAACCTAAATATTTTTTTTTTTTTTGCCTTTTCAGCACACACGTACACATTAATAATTTTGTTTTATTCTTCCCTGATAGAAGAATGGTAGGAGCCAGGTTAGGGGCTAAAAACCCAAGTGACATTTTCCTGATCCCAAAAACAAGAAAATTTTGACTCATACCCACCAAAAAATATTAATCAATATTTGAATCTTTGTTAATATATTTTATATTTACATTATTACAGTACTTGTAGGCTGTTATAATGTTTTACCTGGGATGGCTGAGACTCAACTGGTGCTGGGTCTCATTCTAATAGCTCCTTGCCCAGCGATGAGGACGTATTCCCATACTGCGATTTGGGTGCTGGCTTCGGGTTCCTGTTTTCTTGTTTTTCTAAATACATCTGTTCATTTGTTTTTGCGCAGATACCCTCAAATTCTGCACGGTAAAAATGCATAACCTTTTACCTTTCAGGTGAGTGATTTGATCATTCAAACCAATGACACAGCTAAACAGGTGTTCTTCTTGGATACTTACCTGGTCCATGAGATACCTTTGATGTTCATTGGGCCTACAGGTACTGGTAAATCAGCCATTACCAACAGCTACCTAGTTGGGTTACCAAAAGAAAAGTAAGCAAAATCATTAAATTTTTTATGCCTAAGAAAAAAATGGAAACAATAAAACACAGTTTTAACCATATAAACTGCTTGCTTAGTCTCATATGTATGTCGTATTATTTTGCTAAAAATGATTAATGTTGAATAATTATTTTAATTGTATATTGGGCAAAAAAAAGATTTAATGATTAAAGACCTGTTTCATATCAACTGTATAGCATTCTCCCTAGTAAAAATACCTAAATGGTGTAGTAAGTTTTATATTAAATAAAGTTCTGCAAAAGATTTGATTTGTGTAATTTAAGGTAAGGTATACAAGTACCGTATTCAATACAGAACGTAGGGGATGAGGTGTGCCCATCTTATACTAAGCCTCGGCATTGTGTGGTAGGGTGGCCAGATCCTTTCGGTGCCTTATTTTTTATTATTATTTTCTTAAATTTTATAAATTATGCATCTTGAGTTTTTAAACATACTTCTACATTCTAAATTTTGTCTCATATTACAGATATTTACCAAACAACATCAATTTCTCTGCTCGTACTTCAGCCAACCAGACGCAAGATATCATCATGTCTAAACTTGACAGGTATGTATTCATTCACTGTGTAAGCTTATCAAATAGTCAAATAATGACTTCCTTTGACTCTACTTTATGTACATATCAATATATTATGATACTAAAATCTTTATTTTTCCCCCCAATTTCATAGGAATAATAGTCAATTTGTTATTTTAAAAGCCATATTTTACAAATATTTTAATCTATTTTGTAAGGCCAGACAAAAAATTGAAAATTTCAGGGAAAAAAAGAGTTTTTCTATATTTTCACTATCTCCGTTGCTGCTTTGAAATCTCCAAAAAATAAGATACCGTATGTATGTTTCTTCCTAATTATATAAATTTAAAGCATTTAACCATCCCATTACCACATTGGTAACATTCAACAATAAAATTATATTTTTATTTTCTCTTCCATCTGGATGACTTTGGCAAAACAATTTGCTAAATACAGTATAAGAAAACAAATTTTTATCATTTTTTTTTCTGCCCTCCTCTGACAATCTTAAAACAAAAAGTTTGCGAAACAAGATAAACAAATTATTGTCTAAGTAGTTTGAATTAATTGACTATTGATGTACCATTGTTCCTAACTAGAAGAACAGCATTCAGTATCCGAAAGGTCCACTGATTAATCTCAGATAAGAAAATATAATACATACTCCAAGTATTGAAATACACGATGGCGTGTATTTCAATACTTGGAGTATGTATTATACTTTCTTAGCATTCAGTATCATACTATTAATTTTTGTGAATTACGTTTTTAGGAGAAGAAAAGGTGTGTATGGACCACCAATGAACAAGAAGTGCATCTTGTTTGTAGATGATCTCAACATGCCAGCCAAGGAGATCTATGGTGCCCAACCCCCGATTGAACTCCTAAGGCAGTGGGTCGACCACAAGCATTGGTATGACAAGAAAGATACCTCTAAGCTTGAGCTGATTGACACAGTGAGTATCCAGGGATAGAATAGTAGAGAATTGAACCAAATTTTTATAAATTGAATACTGAAATAATTTATTGTCCAAAGAAGACGATAAAGAAGGAAATGCATTCGAAAACTGGCAAACATTAAAAATCACAAAACAGAGTACCGAATATTATAATCTATAATATTATAAACAATGACAAATTTAAATGAATTAATATGTACAAAAGAAATCAACTTTATATAAGACATAAAAAAGTACAATACATTGAGAAGAAATACATTATATAATTATTAATTATTAATATTTGACTTATGAAAGTAAACATAATTATTTAAATCAACTAGGACGCCCTCTCTCAATTACAATTACTTTCTGTTGCTTTTTGCGTGGATGGACGCTTGTGTTTTGTTACATGTAAAACGCGGAGAGCACTATCTTGTTATTATAAGATTGTTGGTACTTTCCATTGAGTTGATTGACATTCAAAAATATTTTTATGTGATCAGATCATAGTAGCAGCAATGGGACCTCCAGGCGGTGGCCGTAATGACATCACAGGCCGGTTTACTCGTCACTTCAATATCATATCCATCGATTCCTTCGATGATTCCACCATGACTCGCATCTTCACATCTATCACAGACTGGCATTTTGCCAAAGGGTATGACGGCGCTTTCTTGCGTTTAGGAAAGGTGAGATATAGCTTTGTTTTTTAATTGTGAAATTATGATATTTGCTAGAAAAATATACCTATTGATTTTTAGTAAGAACTATCCGTTGTCTATGAGTAATACATAGGCAATCATCACCATCATAGTCATCAATATCATTTGCCATCATCAACACATGGTATTTTAAATCATTATCACCATAATTTTATTTTCATCATGGTCATAAACATTGTAATCATCATCATCATCATCATCATCATACATAAATAGATACAATTACAGTACTTATATAGCGCTATTTTATAAAGATGACATTTGAAGCATGGACAAGCTCATGCAGTAACTTTCTTCTCCCCTAAGGGTCTCTTACTGTCTGAGAGTACCCGGTAAATTGGCACCAGCTACTCTCGTCTTTCCACAACAGGGACTGTTTAAACCAGTATACCGGGGTAACCCACAACCGGGTTCTTTATAGTGCGCATGAGCCAATTGTGTACACTGGGCCTAAGGCTTGTAGTCTATTTCCGAGAAGACTTGTTCCACCTCAACAACCATAGGCAAATGTACCGTTTGTGCTAGCCACGACATGATATAGACTGTAGACGCCCCTGTCATAACCGCTTGGCCATTCAACTCGCCATGACTCGTCATCATTTTTCTCATGAACATCATTGCTTGCAGTCATAATTCATGATATATATTTTAATATGATTTTGTGATATTCTGTAGATTATGGTACAAGCAACGATGGGTGTGTACAAAGCTGCAATAACCAACTTTCTGCCAACACCATCAAAATCCCATTACGTGTTCAACTTGCGTGATTTTGCACGCGTCATCCGTGGTGTATTGTTGACACCAAGCACACATCTTGTTGAGGACGACAAAGATAAATTGATTCGTCTTTGGATCCATGAAGTCTACCGTGTTTTCTATGACCGTCTTATAGATGAAAATGATAGGTAGGTTTAATTACTTATAAAATTTAATACTTAAATAAAGTTATTTTTCTCTACATGGCCCAGTTATATTTCGTTTTTATAAACTCATTCTCATAATGAGGCTTTTAGCATGGAGCTGTCTGTAAGTAAAGAATAGATTTCTGGGTTTTGGTAGTATTTGAATCTGTGGCATATTTCTAGAAGGGTGTGCATGATGAGGGCGCACGCTCCTCCCAGTCGCCGCCCACACTCGAATTTTTTAAAGCAAGAAAATTAGGCTCAAATAGTTAAAAATCACCTCATTACAGCTTATTTTGCTACCTAACGCCACCCTCACTTAATCATCAAGGCATGCCACTGCTCCATTCAACCCTAGGTTTGGAAAGCAAGCATCGAACCTCCAAGCTTCTACCTAAATATGTGACTATTTCAATGGGAGGTTCCTGTTTTTTGTTTTTCATAATCATCAGTGTCATCAAGGTTATCATAGTCATCGTTATCATATTTACCATTATTTTTTATAAATATTTACAACCATCTTTTGGATGTATTTAAAAATGTTCCTTACACTTCCTTCTTGTTTAGGCAAACTTTCTTTGGAATAGTTAAAGAGATGACCCAGAATTCCTTCAAACAGAGCATAGACAAAGTCCTCAGTCACCTATCCCCAAGCGGCAAGCTCATCGACGACAACATCCGCTCATTGTTTTTCTGTGATTTCATCAACCCTGACTCAGATACGAAGGCATATGATGAGGTGGCGGACCTGAAGCAGCTCACAAACGTGATGGAAGGTTACTTAGCTGAGTATAATCAGATCAGCAAGGCAACGATGAGTCTTGTGATGTTTAAGTTTGCAATTGAGCACATATCGCGAGTAAGCCGTGTACTAAAGCAGGACAATGGACATGCATTGCTCATTGGTAAGAATCGTGTGTTTTTACAGGTAGCGGTAAGTAATCAGAAAAAGACATAAAACTAACTGCTAAGTGGCACCATTCGAGGAATCCGATTTTATAGTTTACCAAAGGTCATTGAAATTTTTTTTAATAATCCTACATTTAATTTTTTGTTTATTTATGTAAATAAGCATTCTCTCCTGTGTTTCAGGAATTGGTGGAAGTGGTCGTCAGAGCGCCACAAAACTGGCCACATTTATGGCTGACTACGAACTCTTTCAGATTGAAATTACAAAGAATTACACCAAAAATGAATGGAGAGATGATTTGAAGAAGGTATGTTTTATATGTTATTCCATCCATATACAGTGCACCCCCCCAATTCGAGATCCCTCTAATTCTAGACCCCTCTAATTCGAGACCACTTTTCCAAAGACCCAAATAACAATCTTCAACCTTTTAACACAAAGCTAGCCTCTTATTGGAGACCAACCCCCAAGACCACCCCAAATTTTCAGGCCCCAAAAGTGGTCTCGAATTGGAGGGTGAACTGTATAGACACTAAAATTACATTCCACTGGCCAAATAATCAAAGTATGTATAAGACAATTATTTACAGAACCTCAGGTTGTTGTTTCCTTCCAACCAAACTATTTTTCATCTGATATTATCTCATCACAAAGGATATTCAATACTTATCTATTTAATACAAATTATAGAACCCCATGTACTCTTAAAGTATTTCATGATGTTTTCATGATCAGAGAAGCCTAGATATTATGCATTTATGATATAAAATGCATTGAAATAATTGAAAATCAGACATTTTAAAGCCAATAATTATCTAAACATTGTTTGGAATTTTAAACCTAACTTACACAACCTTCAAACTACTGTTCTGATTATGTATGATGATTATATTAAATTAATACATAATATTGTATTTTAAAGAGTAGTTGCTGAATCTTATATACTATAACATTTTAACTTCAATGGTATAAATATATGGAAAAGTAAGATAGACTTTGAACACTCTAGTCACCATTATTCCATTAATAATTTTATTAATAATAATGATAATAATAATAATAGAATAATATTCTATATCCTAAATTGTTACATATTTGTTTTCTTTTTTGAAATTATAAAATTTATTTCAATTTAATTATCTACAGCTCATTAATTTCTCACTCGTTAATTCACAGCTGCTTTTGAAAGCCGGTGCAGAAGGGAAACAAACTGTGTTCTTATTCGGTGACAACCAGATAAAAGATGAGTCGTTCGTTGAGGACATCAACATGATATTAAACACTGGAGATGTTCCTAATCTGTACCCAGCTGATGAGAAAGCAGAAATTATTGAAAAGATGCAACAGGCTGCTAGGGTGGAGGTAAATCACACACAAAACTGATTTAAAATTCTTACTCAGAGATGAGATAGTCTGAGTCTCTTTATTTGTTTATTTGACCAAAAATGTGACATGTCTAAATATGGTCATGATAAAATTACAATGAAACATACATTTGAAAATAAAATAAACAATTATCATAACATTTGAACAATTCATTCCAGGGACCAATTAATAAAAAATAATACAAAAAGATAATTGCACCTAAATCTTTCCCAAATACTGAACAATTTATAAAAAAAATCTTTAAGGTTATGTTAAATCAACAATTAAATAATTTAAAACGAATTAAATATATATTGACAAATTAAGGCAAATTGAGGAAAGTGAAAAAAAGAAAATATATACAAATGTATAAATATAATTGAAATGAACACTATTGCATGCAATAGATTTTCCGAAGTGTCCATCAAACTTAACAACTAACCAGGGGTTTAGCTAGAAAAATGATATAGGCCGTCCAAAATGGAAGCCAGTGGCCGTGTCGCTGAGCCGATGGGCGGGCCATGCTCATCCTCGGGAATCCCTACTGAATATTGGTACAAAAACAAAGTAAATTCAATCAATAAATGTTATTTTTATTAAACGTAAATATGATTTAGCTTTAGTTTAATGTAACTCTCGATAGAATATAAAGAATTTGCTAAAGGTAGACCAGGCCCAATTAGGCTAGGCCAAGCTGATTAGGCCAAGCCGTTACGTTGTTTGTAGAAAACCGTTGGAAAGAGGCCATTTTTAATGATCGCAGAAAGAATCCAAATTCGTGCAGTAAGCTGCACACTTGTCGTCCATTTAAATCCATTTATGGCACAGCTAGTTATGTAACGACTTTCATGAAGAAATGTAATAGGCGAGCTTTAGCCCTCTTTAGGTCAGTTTGCGCCCCGATTGCAATTGAAGTAGGGCATTATAACAGAAAACCGGTTGATGATAGAAAATGCAGTCTGTGCAACTTGAATAGCATAGAAAATGAATTACACTGCTTTATTGAATGTCCAATATACAATGATTTCAGATCCCACTTGTATGATTATACTGTTAAAATCAACCCATTCTTTGCAGATTTAACCTCTAATGACAAATTCAATTTTTTAATGAGCGATGGAACCACTGTTATAGGGTAGCTAAATTTGCCTGCCAAATCCTCTCCTTACGGCAGTCTATTGTGTTTAAGTAAATCATATTTATAAAATGTTTGTATATTTTGTTTTTAAAACTTTTTAATCGTGTTTTTTGCATGTGTTTTAAAAATGTCCTGTATTTCACTCATAACCCAGAATTGGCTAATCTCGGTTTTAATCTGAGAGTGTCAAACAAATAAATAACTAACTAACTAACATTATAACCGCCACCTAGGTGAAAAATTGCTCTTAAAAGTCTGTTCTAACTTTGTTGATCTTGTAGGGTAGAAAGATAGAGGCTACACCTTTGTCAATGTACAATTACTTTATTGAACGTGTCCGTCGTAATCTCCATGTGGTCCTAGCAATGAGTCCTATTGGGGATGCCTTCAGGAACCGACTAAGAATGTTCCCATCGCTCATTAATTGCTGTACCATTGATTGGTTTCAGGTAAGCTCAGATTTCTTTCTCATACAAAGGACACTTCTTTGTAGTGATTAGACTATTTAATTTATTGATTACATTAATGGCCTGGTATAGTGCTCACTGCAATAAGTGTTATTTCAAAAGCAAAAAAGGCAATAATACATTATATGCTACTAAAAATATACACCCCCCCCCCCCAAATACAGTATATCAGAAACAAAGCCACACACCATAACATAGTTTTATCAGTCTTTCATACTGGCAAAATGTATGATGAAGTGCACATGTAACTTTACTGGCAAAATAAATTTTTGACAATCCCGTCTACCTGGTAAGTGTCTGTTCTTTGTTATGTTTGTGTCAAAGCCGAAATAAATGAAATGAAAAGAAGAATATATGGTATATTTATAATTACAAGAGAGTAGAATAAGCAGTGGATATTTGATGATAGTTGAAACTTCTTTCTTTCAGGCATGGCCTCCAGATGCATTGCAGATGGTTGCCAACAGGTTCCTTGAAGATATGGATCTGGAAGATGACATTCGGAAGCAGTGTGTCTGGATGTGTCAGCACTTCCATGAGAGTGTCAGGCTAATGTCTGAGACGTAAGCACTATGTGGAAAACATTTTTTTCTTAAAATGAAAAATACTCAATATTTATCACACATACAATCAATGTACAATATCTATGTGTGTTGTATTGTGCTTTGAAACAAATAACCTTTGAAAATTTTTTTGAATACATTTCTTCATCTTTACATGTTGCAAGATTAAAACCTCTTCATTGATTTGTTTAATAAGAAGAATAACCTATATACTGCCCTCTCACAGATTCTTAGACACACTTCGTCGTCATAACTATGTCACGCCGACATCATACTTGGAATTGATAATGACCTTCAAGAAGCTCCTGCACATCAAGAGAACAGAGATCATGAATTTGAAGAACCGTTACCTGATCGGTCTGGAGAAACTGGATTTTGCTGCCTCCCAAGTTTCTGTCATGCAACAGGAACTCACAGACCTCCAACCAGAGCTGATCAAGACATCTGAAGAAACTGAGAAATTGATGATAAAAATTGAACAAGACACTGTGGAAGTAGAAGCCAAGAAAGAGGTTGGTATTGAAGTTCTGAAATATAGAGAAGGTATTATAGGCAGTAGCTTCCTGTTATGTTGTGCTGTTTTGTTCAATAAGCTTTTCTTCAGTATTTTCTTTTGCTTCTGTTTGATTTTATTTTTGTAGTCTTCATTATATTTTCTTCTTTTTTTTCGGAATTATGTAAGGTTTTTTGTTTATCAATTATACCAGTTACCTTAAATATTTTCCTATAACTTCCATTATTCAGTTTTATTGTTAATTGATGTACAGTATATGTAATGTATATTTTTTTGCATGCAGCTTGTTGGTGCAGATGAAGCAGTAGCCAATGAGGCAGCTGCAGCATCCAAGGCCATCAAAGACGAGTGTGAAGGTGATCTTGCGAAGGCACTGCCTGCTTTAGAGGCCTCCATCCAAGCCCTGAACACCTTGAAACCTAGTGATATTACCATGGTCAAATCTATGAAAGTAAGACATGTATCAAAGATTAATCCGATTACAATATTTGTTTAAATATATGTGTATGTAATTTTAATTAACACAGTAGTCTTAAAATGAAAATTTGTTTGCATCTTGCCTGTGTTATTCCCTAGCAAAACCTATACACCTACCTGTGTGTTTAATAAACTTTTAATGTCATTCTATCCTTAGAACCCACCATATGGTGTGAAACTCGTTATGGAATCAATCTGCATAATGAAGGGAATCAAACCGGAAAGAAAACCAGATCCATCCGGTAGTGGCAAGATGATAGAGGACTACTGGGGACCATCTCAAAAAGTTCTTAGTGACATGAAATTCTTGGAATCTCTAAAGCTTTACAACAAAGATGCAATTCCACCGGCAATTATCAAAAAGATTCGCACCACGTAAGTTTATGTTATTGAATTCACCTTATTTACATTTATTACATAGTGTTGAGCTTAGAAAAGCACATGCAGACTATTAAGCAATTAGTAGAGCTCTGCATAGTACACTACATAGTAGGCCTACATCTAAATTTGTTCCTTGAGTCTTTAAAATAGGTCTAGAATATTCCTATTAAACGTTCAGTTTGTTGTGTTTATGAGCGTCCATTTATTCACAAAATTCCTTTATTGTTCATACTTAATATTGAATTTGAAGTAACTTTCTTTGGGTTCTAACTAAGCTTGTTTTACGAAAGTAATTTTCAATTACAATTCAATTTTTATCGTAGTGCGCGATGTATTCGCGTTGACAAAAGAAATGAGGAATTTTTTTTTGCACACAAACCTAAAAAAATCAAGCCAGCGTCCACTAATAGAAAAATTAGTGGACGCTGGGGAATAGGCAAATAACATTGGGAGTTACAGTGTTGACGTCACGATTGACTTATAAAACATATTAATAATATTTATTTAACATTACACTTTTACAACAGTGGCAGCACACAAGAAAGTGGCACAGTCAATCTTAAACTAATGAACAAAGAGGAAAACAACAACTTAAAGCAAAGAACTTAGCTAAAGAAAATACAATTTTGAGTTTAAATAAATCATAAATATTGCTCACCCTCCCCACACAAATAATTTACATAATACACATAAACATGCATACAGTATATGTACACCCTTGTACGATAATTTATATACAATTCCAATTTTTATACTGTCAATCTTTGCTCTCTTTATTTCACTGGTCATGTATCACAGACACTCAGACAGGTTCCACCTGTGGTTGGGTCATTGGCACTGCTGTCATAATTCACTGAGTCAGCGGCGCTGCCTCAAATACCAAACCAGTAAAGACCAACACTGGTGGTGGGTTGCGATTTATATTATCAAAATACGTAGAAACACCAAGAGAGTGTAGTCCCCATCATGGAGCTTGCCCGCTACATGTGAGTTTGCACGAATTGCGCAGGCTCCAATGGTATGATGTAAGATGTAAATTTACCACCTTCAAACCATGTGTAATAAGAGGCATACATACTGTATGGCAGCAGGCATCTTCCACTGGCTGTGTATAGCTTATCATTCTTTGACGCTCTCAGCAAGCGTACTATGCTCCCTTGCTGTATCTATACTCTTTGATTTTACTTACATCTTATCTTTTTTATTATATCCTATTTTAGATACATTCCGAATCCAGACTTTGATCCAGCTGTGATTAAGAACATCTCGGCCGCCTGTGAAGGGCTGTGTAAGTGGGTTCGAGCCATGGATATATACGACAATGTTGCAAAGGTAGGTTTAACTACAGGAGAACCATAGCGCAAAAAAATCATATCAGTTATTCGAGAAACTAATGCGTTCTACTAGATGACAGTAATTTTGCTGATCATTCTACACTTCATCTTGAGAAGGTATTTTAGTTATTTATTTTAGTTTCTTATTTTTTAATTCATATTTCTCATATTAAATTCTAACTTGATCGTAAGTGACAACACCACTAAAAAAATTATGAATTGCCCTTACCCTTTCTAGACGCAGCCACACTCACATTGTCTATCTCATTGAATTAAATCTTTCATTGTTTTGCAAAAGCTGCTTGATGAGCTATTCCATATTTTATTTGAATGTGTGAAGGTTTTCAGATAGATCACATACAGTATATGAACATCAATCACTATGTTTTGCAGATCGTTGGTCCCAAACAAGAGAAGTTAAAGTTGGCCGAGGCTGAACTTGCGGTTCAAATGGAAAAGTTGAACGCTAAACGAGCCGAACTGAAGGAAATCACAGACAAATTACAAGCGCTCAACGACGAGTTTGAAGTGATGATTCAGAAAAAGAAGGACTTGGAGTTCAACATTGAACTGTGTTCGCAGAAGCTGGTCCGTGCGGAGAAACTCATCGGCGGTCTAGGCGGTGAGAAGGATCGCTGGAGCGAAGCTGCTAAGGAACTCGGAGAGAAGTATATCAACATTACAGGTGATGTGTTGATCTCATCAGGTGTTATTGCATACCTGGGTGCTTTTACAGTGGATTTCAGACAGGTAATTAGCATACTTACACTACTAGTTTTGTTTTTTTTTTTTGTTTTTTTTATGTAGAACCAGTAGAATTCTTTTGTTTTGTTATTAAGCACACTGTCATATGTTGACAATAAAAAGCCATTGTTTATGTTTTTTCAGTCAGTTTGTTGAAATGTATGCTTATATAAAAGGTGTCTAACATGTGACCTGTATCAAGTGACTTTATCATTATTATTTAATTGAGTATACTGGACTTGCACAGATACACTCTTTGCTGTGGTGTTGGAATTACTCTTTAAGATGGAATGTGTTTTAAAATATCCCTGTAAAATGGAACGTGTTAAGGTTCATCATGAGTTCGCTTTCCAACTACCCATTCAACTTACCTGGATGTTGGTATTTGGACCTATCTCTTGACGGATGACCAGTGGCTAATAGCACTTCTCCGATAATGGACTAGGGCCTATGTTTAGAGTAATTTTGACCTAGTTTTAGTGTAATTTTGACCTAGTTTTAGAGTAATTTTGACCTAGTTTTAGAGTAATTTTGACCTACTAGTTTTAAAGTAATTTTAATCTAGTTTTAGAGTAATTTTGACCTAGTTTTAATGTAATTTTGACATAGTTTTAGAGTAATTTTGACCTAGTTTTAGAGTAATTTTGTCCTAGTTTTATAGAAATTTTGACCTAGTTTCTGCAGAAAACTAGCACTCCTATCTCAGTAGCCTATAAGTAGAACGAGTAGGATTGTTCTTTTTTGATTGATTGAGCACATTATCTTTTGCTGACAGTAAAAGCTATTGTTTATATGGGCTGTATCAAATTATTTTATTGTTATTTTATCATTATTATTGTTGCTGCTGTTCATGATGCTGCTCATGCTGTGACTGTTGCTATTTTTCATGGTCCTATTGCCGCCATTGCTGCTGTTATTATTATAAATATTTTTTCAATCCTCTTTGTTGTTCTTTTTAATGTGATGATAAAGTAAGTCTTCTCCTTTTCTTCACTGTGAAAATTGTCTATTTATAACCACAGAGGGCAACAGAGGAGTGGCTGACTCAAAGTCAAGAGAAGAAGATTCCCTGCTCAGATAGCTTCTCCTTAAATGCAACTCTTGGAGAACCAGTGAAGATTCGCGACTGGCAGATTGCTGGTCTACCTGTAGATTCCTTCTCCATTGACAATGGCATAATGGTGTCCAACTCTAGGCGATGGCCTCTGATGATTGATCCACAAGGTAAAGTTTTGGGTTTTTTTACTTGAGGTATGAGTGTTAATGTCAACCAAGATTCAATAATCGATAGCTCAAGGAAAGCCTAGGGATTAGAACTACAGATCTACCTCCAATTAAAGACTACCTTTTTTGACTGGGATTTCCATGGTCTTTAGCAGCTTTGGTCTCTAATTAGAAAATAAATATAAAAGACATTTGCTAATATGGGACCACAGAAGCATGATCTTTAATTAGAGTGTCCTGTATTTTTATTTATGAGAAAAACCACTGGTTTTACCAGGACTTTTAACAGGACACTGGGAGTAATCTTAACTACCAATCATTTTACTCCACTCAGTTCACTCATTAAAAGTCTTTGGGGTAATTATTTTCTTAACAAGAGTACAAAACATAATGCTAGGGAAATGGGGGTCAACAGTGTTTTGTACTCTAATGACAATATTTAAATGATGATCTCAAAAGGACAGCAATCATACTTTTATTATGTTTTTTTTTTTTGGATGGAGAGAGAGAGAAGAATGTTTTACTCACGTAGAAATGTTGAAACTAACAATGACCCTAAGCATCATAATATATTTTATATAACATTACTGCATAGGCCTATTTAATGTTTGAAATAATAATAATAATAATAATAATAATTATAATAATAATAATAATAATAATAAATGTGCCATGCAAGGCCTCTATGTGTGGTACACTAGAACACAAATTAACCTGTACATATACAGTACCAAATGATTAAATATATAGTTGACTGCTAAAATAATGTGCTAATTTGGTAATACTCACTGTTAGAGATTTTGATAAAATCAGCTGAAATGAAACAGATTTGCTAATTATTTTAATCATAATTGACTCCCAAACCAGGTCAAGCCAACAAGTGGGTGAAGAATATGGAGAGAGCCAATCAACTTTCAGTTATTAAGTTGTCGGATCCAAACTATGTTCGCACTCTGGAAAATGCAATTCAATTTGGAAAGCCTGTGTTGCTAGAGAACATAGGGGAGGAGCTGGATCCACTGTTGGAGCCTATTCTTCTCAAACAAACCTTCAAAGCACAAGGAGTTGAGGTACAGTGTCTCATGCATATTGTTAATGGTTTGAAAACATAGTACCAGCCACCGCCAGACTTTATAGCGAATTTTAACACTTTTCCAAAGCTCGTTCAGAGTGCGTATGTGATCAGATTGACTTAAATACAAGAACTACAAACAAACATCTTACCTTTACATTGGTACCAAACACATTATTCTAATCACAATCTGTGACCCGTAACAGTAAAATGAAGTGATATGTAAATGATATGATATGTAAATGACATGATATGTAAATTTAAACTTAAAATAATTATTAGAAAATAAATAAACCATTTAAATAATTGGAAAGGAAAAGTCTTAATGAAAGTAAAGATATTAAGGAAAGACTAAGAAAAGGAAAGTTCTTTGGAACATCTTAAAAAGAAACTGAAATAGATAAAGGAAATAATTTAAAATATAGAATAGAAATAAATATTATATTGCTAAAATAATAATTTGAATTAAAATATGACAAATCGAAATAAAATGTTTAATAAATAAAATAATTTATAATTAGAATTAAAATTAATCTTAGACGTTATGAGTTCAGTGAATTGAGGTTTGTTTTAAATTCTGTATTTGCAATTATTTTCCCCGTTTATGGAATTATTTGCTCCCGCACTGATTGTTTTAAAGGCTGACGAGATTTTAATATATTATTATATATTATATTTCTTGTTATGTTAGGTAATCCACTCGATAGTCGATTTTGTAACTTTTGGGTTTCCTGTCTCTTTGTATATTTTATGTGTATTGTACTGTTTTAATGGGGGTTTTTTTAGACGAATAAATGAAATGAAGTCAAATAAAAAAATAAATGAAATTTTTTAATATACTTAACTTTTAATATTTAAATATTTAAAATAATAAAGACTTAATTAAATAACAATTTGACTTGTAAAATAACTTGAATTAATAAATTTAACTTTTTGAATGTAAATTTTATATATAAAATTAAACAACCTTAAAGCATTTGTTTACAGGTTCTGCTTTGGAAGTCATGTCAAGACATTTATGTTAATGCTCACCACCTCTCAACCCTTTGTGTGTTTCCTGAATATTCAGTTGCACCCACTTAAATACTTATTTAATGAGATATTGACCATTGGATTAGAATATTTTTTCTTATTTTTCTTAGTACTTGCGACTTGGTGAAAATGTGATTGAATACTCGCATGATTTCAAGTTCTACATCACAACCAGTCTACGAAATCCACACTACCTACCTGAGATATCCGTCAAAGTAAGTAATTTAAACGCTGTTCAGACTTCCACATTTTAGATGACAAAAACATGTGACATGCCTAAATATGGTCATGATGACTTCACATCATGACTATATATGGGTAAAAGCGACATTTTTTTTTTGTCAAAGAAAATTTGATAGTCTAGACAAAGCTTTATGGACTAATGATGTAAATATAAATGTGATTACTTCTGCTAAAGTGTATTTTGTGAATATATTGATGATCAGATAAATGCCAGGTTTACAAGCATCAATGTTTATTTGTGTAAATCCTGCAGGTTGTTCTTGTAAACTTCATGATAACTCCTCTTGGGTTACAAGACCAGCTGCTCGGCATCGTGGCAGCTAAAGAGAAACCAGAATTGGAGGAGAAAAAGAACCAGTTAATCTTAGAAAGTGCCGAAAACAAGCGTCAGTTGAAAGAAATTGAAGATAAGATCCTCAAAGTTCTCTCCAGTTCAGAGGGCAACATCTTGGAGGATGAAACAGCTATCAAGGTTCTATCGTCTTCTAAAACACTTTCTGAAGAAATCACAGCTAAACAGGTAAAAATTAAATGTCGATAATCCAATTTTAAACTAACCGTATGAACAAATGTTTTTAGGAGCTGTGAGATTTTGATAAACAACGGTATTGTGTTTTACATTACAAAATGCTTACATCTTTTTATTGCTTTGTCAATTTCAGGAAATTGCTTCTGCCACTGAGAAAGAAATTGATGAAACCAGGAATGGTTACAAGCCTGTGGCAGTGCATTCCTCAACGCTGTTTTTCTGCATCTCGGAGCTGGCCAACATCGAACCAATGTACCAGTACTCGCTGACATGGTTTATTAACCTTTACCTCCAGTCGATACAAAACAGCAAGAAGTCCTCATCATTGGAAGACAGGATCGATAATCTGAATGATCACTTCACTGACAGTATTTATCGTAATATCTGCCGGTCGTTGTTTGAGAAAGATAAACTGCTGTTCTCGGTGGTACTGTGTGTTGGTATCATGCAGGGCAGGTGAGTTCACTGCTGATATCATAACTCTGGGTAACTTTCCAGGATTTTATGAAATGTTGTGGAGAGCATTTTGTCCATGAACTAGAAAGTTTTCTAGTAATACATCTTCAAAGTTGTTCTAAAAATGTTAATCATTTATGAGTTGGGACTCCAGGAAATTAATCCTGTATTAGGATTGAGATCGCTATCCCTGATATCATAGCTTTTAACTCTGTCCCGTATTTGTTTATCAAAGAAAAAGAAAAATTATTTTCACAGGTTTGATTCATCAGCTTTTTGCTTCAATTTTCACAATTTCGAACCTCTGTCAAAAAATGAGTTTTGCTACACCTTATGTTGAATAGAACTTTCCACTTAGCCACGCCCCTTGGATATTGTTGCTAAGGTCCCACGAAACAACCGTGTAAAAACATACGCAAACACATGCGTTTGTGGGAAAACGTGTGTTTGTAGAACATGCGCATATTCTTGAACTGTTCTGATAGGTCAGTTGTTAAGTTTGATTGACACTCCAGAAATGTCCTTTGAGATGACTGAGAACATTGTTTTCTTTTTCGAAATTGATTAGAGGAAAGGTCGATGACACAGAGTGGCGTTTCTTGCTAACCGGTGGTGTCGCTTTGGACAACCCATATCCTAACCCCGCTCCAGAATGGTTGTCGGATAAATCATGGTCAGAAATTGTGCGTGCAGATAATTTGACCAACCTCAACGGACTACGAGAAGGTAAGTCTTTAAAATAATTAAGCCTTCGTATGTGTTATAAAAATGTAAAAAACTTAATGTTATAAACATACTACATTTGAAATATAAAAAATATATAGCTTTGGAGCAAAACAGTTGTATTTTCTAGAATTGTTAACTAGCAACTTTTGATTTTTGTGTAAACACTATATTCAATATGATTATTGGAAAAAGAAATAGTCTATTGTGTATTCTGTTGTAGATTTCCAGAATAATGTAACAGAATGGAAGAAGATTTATGATTCCGCGACACCCAATGAAGAACGTTATCCAGGAAAATGGAATGATTTGTCTGGACTATCACGGATGATAGTTTTGCGCTGTCTCAGACCTGACAAGATTGTACCTGCCATACAAGACTACGTCATCGATAACATTGGACAGTCTTATGTAGAGCCGCCAACGTTTGATTTGGCTGGAAGTTTCGCAGACTCTAATTGTTGTGCGCCGTTAATATTTGTGTTATCGCCTGGTGCCGATCCTATGGCCGGGCTTATGAAGTTTGCATCGGATAAAGGATACGTCGGGAATCGCATCCAGGCAATTTCTCTTGGACAGGGACAGGGACCGATTGCCGCAAAGATGATAGAAGATGGATTGAAAACAGGCAATTGGGTAATTCTACAGAATTGTCACCTGGCAACTAGCTGGATGCCAAAGCTAGAGAAGATCTGTGAGGAGGTCATTATTCCTGAAAACACAAATACAGCATTCCGACTTTGGCTGACCAGTTATCCATCAGAGAGCTTCCCTGTGTCCATCTTACAAAACGGTTTGTTTTAACATTAAACAGTTGTAAAACATTCACTCTATTTTTCATTATTAGGTCAAAAAAATAAATTTTTGTGTTGACCACATTTTGGGAAATCCAAAAAATGGGTAGGTCAGTAGGAGACCTTTTTTTTCTTTAAACCAAAAATGTGTTTACGCCTAAAAAGTAGAAAATACACATATAATACAACAATTTTGGATTTGCATCGTGTACCATGCACTAAAATAGGCTAGGCCTCGGCCCCCTGGCCTAGCCGAGACTATATTTCAGCCTTATTAGCTCATAAAAAAAAATGTTGTTCCTTGTATTAAAAAAAAGAAAAAACAAAAATGCGACCCTGAATTTCATAAAATTTTGGGTCGGTCAGGCGTGGCCAACCCAATAATTTTTTTTATTTGGCCTTATATGGTGAAAGTAGTATAGCCACATTTATCTAAAAGTTACTGATAACAGGTAATGAAGAGGCAGCACTCTGAGACTAACTCAAAATGAAGTTCCTGTTATTATTATTTGTTATTATTTAAGGATACGTTAATGGATTAAACCAGATGTTTTTATAACAATCACTCTTTATTACAGGTGTTAAGATGACCAATGAACCACCTAAAGGCTTAAGAGCCAACTTGCTTCGATCCTACCTGAATGATCCCATCTCTGACCCTAGTTTCTTCCAAGGCTGCAACAAAGTAAGGAAAATGAAAATTTTCATTCATTGTAAATCAAATATTATGATTATCCTTCACTAATCAGATTTATGAGTCGGTTGTGACATCATTGTTTTTCAAACCTTGAGCAGGTACTAATTGGCTATAGCGTGCTGGTATATTGCGGGTCATGTGCAAAAGTTTAAAACAAAGTTGTTGTTTACACTACAAAGAATATTGTATTGGTAGTAGGCAACAAACTAAATTATCTTGCTGTACAATGTTGATGAATAAGTAAGAAGCCTTGAGCTGGGCTGGGCCTAAAAAGGTCTATGGCTATGAGATATACTTTGATTGACTTATTAAAAATAGGCATTGTCGATGACAGTCCAAACGGATCATTGTTAAAAACGATCTGTTGTGCGCACGTCTTGGTGTTGCGTTTTCTATAGTATCGCATTAACCTGAAAAGCAAAAAAGCAGGCCATATTTTGCGACGTGTTCCCCATCACTGATAAACTTTATATTTACAATAAGGTTATTCAGTTTGTATATTTATAGCTATTATCTCTTCACAGCCAGAGAATTGGCAGAAGTTGCTGTTTGGTTTGTGTTTCTTCCATGCGCTGGTGCAGGAGAGGCGTAAATTTGGCCCCCTTGGCTGGAACATTCCATACGAGTTCAATGAATCAGATCTAAGGATCAGCATGACTCAAATTCAGGTACGAAAATTAATCTTTTTTTATTACATCAGTGAAAGCAATACAATTGAATGACATAAATGAACAAAAATAAAATTATGTAATATTGTGTGCACTGTTATCTAGTAGGCTAAAATACTGGGAAGAAATAGTAAAGGTAAGTCTATTTCATGAATACTTACCTGTATATTGACTATTAAATTGTCTGTTTTCGAAACAGATCACCCCTTTGAATAGAATAGAACAGTCCGACCCAGTAAGAATAGGGAATGAGGACTTGTTTAGGGAGACAGTTTGTATGTGACACCCTGGCTTGGACTGCTCTATTTTATTCGAAAGGGGTGTTCAATTTTTGGGAATAAAGACAATTAGTTGGTTTATCCAGGTAAGTATATCTTGTTTTTGTGTACACAAGACCTCTGATTTTTATGTCCTTATCCAAAAAGAACCGATTAAGGAGGATCTTGAATCAGTGCTGATGTTAAAATTTTAGTTTGCGGTGCTCCTGCCTTATACTGCTCACCCAATAGTCTTGCCCACTTATTAGCTGTAAAATTATGAAATACTTCCAAAAAGACCCTAGTATGTGTTCATAATGCACTATGTGAAACTGATATTCTTTTTAAAAGAAATTTAATTAGAGGCATTAAAGAGATGCACAGAGTTTTATTCTATTACATAAATATATTTTGGATCTGGCACACATGTTAATTTTCAAGAGTAAAACATTATCCTTTTAATATTTCCAAACTTGATTATTTAGATGTTCCTGAATGATTATGATGTGACTCCTTTTGATGCCCTGATGTACCTCACTGGCGAGTGTAATTATGGAGGGCGTGTTACTGATGATAAGGATCGACGTCTGTTGATTGCCCTTCTAAGCAAATTCTACAGCCATGAAATTCTTGACCAGGCAAAGTATCCGTAAGTTAGTTGTCTTTGTTCCCTCTATAAATTACTTTTGTAATATTTTTATAGTCTATATGAAATACATATTTTAGTTTGTTTTTGTATTTTTTTTTATATCTATCTATGAACTTAATTACTGCAGGTTTTCGGATAGTGGGGAATACTATGCACCAGATCATGGAGATTACAACAGTTACCTGGAGTACATTCGCAGCTTGCCATCCATTCCTCATCCAGAAGTCTTCGGACTCCATGAGAATGCTGACATCACAAAAGACAACCAAGAAACACAGCAGGTAGTACCGGAATTTATTCAAAATAATACAACACAACCAATGACATGTTGGGAAAGTTGGATGTTTCTATTTTATTCAATTCAGTTATCCAGTTCAATGCAATTCTTTATTCCACAAATGTTACAAGTAAATATACATATTACATATCACTTTTTTATTATAAGTGAAAAATGGTATCCCACCACAAGCATTGATCTACATGTGTGACCCTTAAAAGCTAAACTAAACAAAAAAAGCAAAATAAAGAAAAACAAAACAATGATAAATGAGTTGGTCTATCTAATGTTTAAGGTGTTGTTTTTTAATGAGAATTTACATTATTCACCGCATATAAGACAATTTAGGGTAGATTTGTTACAAAACGTAAGAGAAAGGAAAAAGTACTATTTTAATTATTGATTATTTGTTTTTAATTCTTCTTGTTCTATTTTTTCTTTAGTTGTTTGATAGCATTCTGTTGACATTGCCACGTCAGACAGGAGGGGCTGGGAAGTCCCCACAAGAGGTTATTCAAGATCTTGCGAGCGACATTCTCTCTAAGCTGCCAGCAGACTTCAATATTGAAGCAGTAAGTTTAGTTGCCATTGTCCTTTATAACTCCATCCTTCATTGTCTATTCACTACACATGCATTGTACTATAACACGATGTGCTCTGCCTTATTAAACTTGTCAGTCACAGCCGACCTGTCCTTTTGTGTATCTATAGCCTGGTTCTCACGAGAGCCCTAGTATCCGGATCGGGAGCTAACTGTTAGCGCTAACCGTTAGCACCTGAGTGAGAACGCCCAATCGGTTAGCGCTAACCGTTAGCAGTATCCAGATACCGCTAAGAGTTAGCAAGCGCTATCGGTTAGCATGTTGAGCGCGTTTCTATCATCAACCAATCACACGTACATGTTTACAATTTCCAGTTTCTTATTGGCTTATTCAATCATCATATTCTTGGTATCCGGATCGGGATTATCTCGTATGGACGCACGGAAGCTAACGGTTAGCAGGATCCGGATCCTGCTAACCGTTAGTTGCCGTGTGAGAACATAGCCAATGTCTTATTATATATTTAAGTAGAAAACCATTTTGTAAAAAAAATAATAATAATAAAGATAGTGAGAAAATTCACTTATGGCAGTCCATACCTCAAAATGTTTGGAAATACAAAAGTTTTACATGAGGATGTTATTTTTCAGGTTATAGAGAAGTATCCAGTGATGTACAATGAATCAATGAACACAGTCTTGCGTCAGGAACTGATCAGATTCAACCGGCTGACATCAGTTGTCCGTGTCAGTCTCCAGAACATGAAGAAAGCCATCAAAGGACTTGTGGTGATGTCTGCTGAGTTGGAGGATGTCTTTAACAGTATGCTTGTTGGTAAAGTACCAGCAATGTGGGCTGCTAAGTCATACCCTTCCCTTAAGCCTATGGGAAGCTATGTCACTGACTTGCTGCAGAGGTAAGATCATTGCAGTAATCTTATTATTCTTTTATTAATTTTTTTACACAACTATAGAAAGTGTATTGTGGAATGATACACTCTCTATAAGTAGCTTAGGGAATGGAGTAGATTTTACATCAGAGTAGACAAACCTAAAATGATAAATATGAAGAAGCTAAAGAGGTGTATAAACATATGGCTGTAAAGGATCTTTCACATTAAGTAGCAGGACAGAGTTAGTAATACAGAACTTTGGGATCAAATTAATCAAAGGCCACTTGAAAATGATATTCTAGACCATAAGTTGAATTGAATCTGGGACACGCACTGAATATCACCATCAAGTATCACAAATCAAGCTCTATGTTAGAACCCTGAGGCAAAAGATGAGGATGCCCATGCCAGAACTGTAGAAGGGACCGGGCAATAGAAATAATTAAGATTGGCCACACATGGGAATAGCATTAATCATCAATGGTCTGTGCTTTAACAGTAGCAAAGGCTTTAAGAAGTGAACAAACCTGCTGTGTCAGTTGATTTGAACCCAGCAATCAGGGGTTGCAAGATAAGCATCAGTTCTACTGCAACCCAAAAAATCTGCTTTGAGAACAACACATAACTTCACTGTGTAAAAATACTGCTAAGTATTGATTTTCTTTTATCATACTAGGTTGAAATTCTTACAAGATTGGATTGACAATGGAACCCCAGAGGTATTCTGGTTGTCTGGATTCTATTTTACACAGTCTTTCTTGACTGGTAAGTAAGGCTCCACTTCAAAGCCAGTTAATTAATAATAATGAATACTGTAATGTAAACAACATAATGTTTGTAGTTCAGGTCAAGTTGAACTATAATATCAATTGTTATATTGAAGCTGCTAAAAGACTGTTATGAATGATGAAACTTGATTGAACAGATCAAAAACACTCAACATTATTAGTATAACAACAAATACTACTTCCTGCTACTAACACACCTTAGTAAATCACTTTCTACGATCTATGTTATCACAAATCGAAAGCTTCGTACTTACTGTAACCTTACTGGTCTAAATAGCCATCTTTTACAAGAGATTTGGCAGACATTGACTTGATGTCACTTGCAAGATACTACTGTACTTTTGAAATCTGTAAATCACGACTAATATTCCTATTAATTTTGTCTGGTAGGTGTAAGTCAAAACTTTGCAAGAAAGTACACTATTCCCATTGATCATCTTGGCTTCCAATTTGAGGTTACAACCCACGAAGAGGATACGGAACCAAAGAAACCAGAAGATGGTGCATTTGTTAAGGTACAATATAAATATTTAGATTTTACTACTAATATATTACAATTTCCTATTCCCCAAAGTTTCTTGCAAAACCTGTACAAATTCGCTAAATATTTTTTTAGAATAATTATATTATTAATTAATAAAAATATTTCAGTCTAAATATTAAAACGTTATAATTTCAGGCCAGATAACTATCATTTATTTATCAAATTATTAACTTGCAACTTTGTCATTCCTGACTATAACAAATATGTATAACTCATTTAAAACTTTTTGTCTTTGGAAAATAGGGTTTATTTCTGGAAGGAGCACGTTGGGATCGTGAACTTCGATGCCTCAACGAGTCGTATCCTAAAATACTTTTCGACACGTTGCCCATCATTTGGCTGAAACCAGGTGAAAAGAGTAAATTCACCGATCAGGCTGTTTACAAATGTCCAATTTATAAAACCAGTGCTCGCCGTGGAACCCTGTCAACGACTGGTCACTCAACTAACTTTGTCATGTACTTAGATTTAAGCTCAAATAAATCCGAAGCTTACTGGATAAACCGTGGAGTAGCTAGTCTTTGCCAACTTGATGATTAATGATAAATGGGAAATGTTTCGAAATATCTGATATGATTTTCTGTGAAATTCTGATAACATTGTAATTAATTTTGTATATAAAAAGGATGAAAAATTGTATCAAAGAGTATAGAATCTCAAGAAGTCCAACTGCCTTGATTTTGCATGAAAAAATAAAGTACTACTACAAGATAGTGCGCGCCGTGTTAGAATTTGAGTAGAGGTTGAAAAAACTCAAACATGCATTCTAAAGACACAGCACTCGTTTCGATACAAACGCTTTTTATGTTCTTTTGAAGGATACTCTGTAGTTTGTGGTAGTATTTTCCAGATTGTGTTTCAGTAAAACACCGAGAGTCAGACCTCTTGCAGTTTTATATTCTTTGGTTGTATGCAATGCCGCAGGTTGCTGTGAATATCAGTATTCAATATCATAGCAGTGTCACCTCATAGCGCAAACTATGTACAGTGTTAAATACCTATTCTGTTTGAATTGCATTATTATTCATAATATTTTCATACTTCCCAGTGCAACATGAAAGTATTTCTAAACATTCTAGATAAGGAAAAAATGTATTTACTATTCTATACATTGTGTTGTATTTGATTTTCAAGCAACTTGTTTAAATTTAATATATTTCAATACTACATGTTTCTGATATTGTTAATTGGAAGAGTGTGTATAGTTTGAGACATAAAATCCCAACTTTCATTGAAACCAAAGATCTACTAATAATATAGTTGCCCAATTGATTCATGTTACATTTCCTCCATTCCATTTTCATTTTGAAGCTTTTCCAAAAATTTGGACTTTTCGAAGGCAAAAAGAAAACTTAAGCATTGATTTATAATTATATTGGCGTTGCTGTAGAGTTTTTAACTCATGGGTATTTTCTAAACTACTAAATAAATATATTAGTTTGTATGAATTAATTATTATATATAATATATATATTTATCAATTTTCGATATAAGTAATATTTGCTGAATAATAATAATACAGGAATGCTAATAACTTAAATATTAAAACACCTTGATCTTAAACCATTCCATTTTTATCCGTCCAGGTACATATCTATTCATTGTATAATATATATTAAATTTGCTGTTCCTTTGGAATATGTTAAAAGATTTGAGGTAATAAAATATTAACCTGTATATTTGAAGTGATTGTATGTATGTTTGTGTTCGAATAATAAACCGCCAAACACAGCTTACCAATTTGGTCCATGTTTTGTCTGTTTTTCCCGCGTTCATTACTGTTGGTAAGTAAACAGTAAAACAAAATCTAGCAACTACTAGTTATGTATATCATGCACCTATTAATAGGTCCATGCATATATACTTGCTGTATATTGTATATAATTCGATTGGAGGCATTTTTGTCACACATTTTGGACGTATGGACACAGCAGTTGTTGTTGACGCACCCACATGAAACACATCAATGTTATACGCCCTATTGCGTCTCTTCATCGTAATGTAGGGGTGGCTCCAGAGATGTTGGGTGTGGCCAGATCACCCTCTGTCGAGAAAAACAACTATTCATCGAGCAGAAAAAAAATATATATGTATTTCTACAAATTAGTAAACACTAATATCAATTACATAGCTTTGAAGCCCTTAAATTGACATATTTTTCGGGGGATTCTCCCTTTGGCCACTTTCGAAAGATTTTGAGTTAGTACACCCACTTTGCTGTCGTCGGAGACATCAGCCCCCACACCTCGTTGGGCAAATCCTGGCGCAATCCTTGAATACCTAGTGAATCGGGAGTAGAAAATTAAATGATAAACAAAATGATCAACAAAATATGTAATTGGGGGACCATTTAAAGGAAATATAAATATATATATATATATATATATATATACACATGAATTGCTATAACAAACAACGAATGTATGTAAATTATGAAGATTTTATCTGAAAGTACCACAACAGTTTATAAATCGATGCAATTTACATTTTGAAAATACAGTACTAAATTACGATTATCTGCATCATCACAGTTACTTTAGCTTGTTGAAACTCTCCGGTAATGAATTAAACTACCAGAGTTGAGAGCCACTTGGCTACCCATTGATTAGATCCACGCAATCAAGGATCCACTACCAGCGTGTCTCATAACCGCATGACTTGGGAAAATGGAAAATTGAAACTGATTTGAAGAAGAGAGAAAAATAGTCAACAAAACGTCTAGTGTTTGAGCGCATATGTAAGTTCAGGCAATTAAAAAGTGTATAATAACAACAGAATAATAAAAGCGGGGTTGTGGGGGGGGGGGGAACTCAGAATATTTTACAGTTCTATAGAAAGTTCAATTTGGATTTCTTGCATGTTCCTGATTTTTTTAAATTTTTATTTTATTTTTTTTTTCATAATTGCGTAATTCCGACAAGAAGAGTCCTCATTGTAAGTCAGAAATCCGATTGTTTATCTTTGAGGCCTGTATGGTATAGTCCTGGTAGGCCTGTAATTAGAATAATTTTTAGAAATCGTTGTGGTCCTACAGATCTATTAACGAGATGAAACATGGCTGTGCAAGCGTTTCAATGTGGCTGCATGGTATGTTTATAGGAAACTAAAGGTATTTATAGTACGGGGTTAAGCATTTGTTTGTTTATATTTTCAAGAATTGTATATTTACAAATGACTAGAGCCGCTGGCGTGTTCCGTGTGTTGAGGCATAAAATTCAGAGTTAGTGGATTCACCAATTACGAAAACGCGTACCGGTATTGTGGAATCTTTCTACACGTGTAGTAAAAGTAGACGTAATTATCGTGCAGGAGTGTAGTGAAACCAAACTGAAGTTGTACTTCACGAAATAATGTGGAGTCCTATTATGGATTAGGCCTATGAACTATTTAAATTCAATTGTTTGGTAATAAATAAAGTGAATGAATTATTCACTAATAGAAACCAATTATGTTTTGTTCATCAGAAGTTGCACTTCGAAGAAAAGGCACGTACACGCATAGTCGCTGTAAACTGAACTTTATATTTAAATAATTGTTTCTCATGAATAAAAAGTTAGAAAGAAATATAAGGTTTATCCGAAGGTCAAGTCATCAATCGGAGATTTAGTAGGTGCAAAGAGATAAATATACTATAAGTTACTTTCAAAATTCCCCCGGGGGGGGTCATATTTCCCCACGAAAGCAAAGTAGGCGTGGTCGAGCTTCGATTAAAAGGCTTTCAAAAGTGGTCCAGGGGGGAAATTTTGACAATTTAGGGGTTTCAGAGGATTTTAGAGTAGCTAATATGTTGGAAATAAATATAATTTTTTTTTTTTCGAATTGTGCTTTTTCTCCTCGACTGGGGAGAAGTCGGGGTGGGGAGCGGGGTGCTGCCTGTCTCCTACCACAAAACAGTCGACAATCTCCACAGCAAGGGCTGCACTATTTTGTTGATTCTTGCGAGGAAAATACTGCCGGAGAATGTTAACTTTTTCGTCGTCGGGGAAAATCGTGAAATGTTAAGTTATTTATCAGATAGCTGTAGCAGGTCTATCTGCAGTTGCCCGAATGTAAATAGAAGTTAATTATATCATTCTTTAGTGTAGCAATGATCTCGAGTCTGAGAATTTTTTTTTGTTGAGTGTTAATGAAGTTCAATAATTGAAGTGTTTCTATCATACGGCAAGAAAAAAAACAACTTTATTTCCATGTTATACATAGAAAAATAGATGCACTTGGTGGCAATCTACATAAACAACATGGTCGGCATTAGCCTACAAAAATGCTAGAAATAGAATAACACATTTAATTTATATAATATATAATTTAGTGTATTGGAATACTGATAAAAAGATCTCACTTAAGAGAGCACATACATCATAAATAAATTTACATACATCAGGCCTAATATAGCGCTCAAACATGTTTACAGTCAAATACAAAATTATATTTCTTAACCTCAAATAGCACCTTTAACGATGGAAATCCGTACCAATAAAAATATGAAACCTATAGATATTGCGAAATATAGGCGTAATGCATTATTTATACTAGTAATCATTTTTTTTAAATTAAATATTAAACATAAAAAAATGGTTCAATTTGAAGAATCATCCATATAATTTCGACATAACTCTCCATATAACATACATACAAAAACCCTACAGAAATTTATAGAAATATAACAAGAACGATCTGCATAAACTCTATCCCAGGGGTCGCAAATCTCCCGCAAGTTGCGGGGACTGCCGGGAAATCAAGACGGCCTACCGCACTCACGCAGCCGGAACAGAATTTACCTGTGAATATAACCCATCTCCCGTAAGTTCATAAAATCTGGATGGTGTTTTTTTTTCGTACTCCCTTTGTTATAATTTTGTCTCACGAAAATCAGTATCGAATTGGTGTCATCATAAGCAGCAAAACAAGATTAGATGTGCAATAAAAATGCTCGTTTGAACAGTTCACCCGGAAATGAGTTCTTCCAACTGGGATCCCTGCTATACTAATTTCCTGCAATCAATAACATTTCTTGGCAACCTTACATGAGTACAACAAAACCGTTTCACTTATACTGTACTTCAAAGAAAATATTTATAATAGGTTGTGTCTATTTACTGTATCTGCTAGTGTCTGACAAACACGGCCAGATATCTAGATTATATATCCTTCATAGGTTTTTCAGTGCGGTTGACATTATTCGAATTTGGTTAAGACTCCTTATTCCAAGTTTCCTCTCTAAAGTGCCGAAAAAATATTCTGGTGCCTGTGGGAAAACAACCATATTACGAATATTCAGATTCACCGAAAGACTACATAGTGTTTTAAGTATATGTTAGAAAACAATAACAATCCGAGGAATGATAACTGTAAATATATTGCTAAAGAACGGAGGTTTTAAACCCATTTTGATCTGAATTTCGACGTTATGGCCATAGTTTGTGTTAAGCTAAATACATGTTAATATTATGATTCAACAATTAGAGAGTTTTTAAGATTTGTTTAATGATTTTTCCACAAGATTGTTGTTATTGCTTACTTCTTTTCTGAGATTTTGTAGAAACAACAAATCTTCCCCAGTCATATTAGCCACCTTTCGACTGTAAAGAATAAACAAAACACACACATTGAAGTTAAAATTGTATTGTTGAAATGTGTTTTTTTTTGTCATTTCATAAGATGTTTGCACAAGGTCAAAATGCCCATAGGATATTCACTACAGACAATAGCGGATCAATATGAAATGTTTTATTTGTTCTTTGTTTAAATTTTTTTTTATCAAATGTGAAAACACTTTAGTTTATTATAACATGGAGAAAACATATTTTTTCTTCATGATTTCAATAAGCCAGTTCGTAGTTCGAACTGAGCATGCACGTACCCAGGGTCAATCAACATAAACTTATGTTGCGTGCCTGTTTGTGTCGATGACCTTGACAAGGGCATGCACAGTTCAAACTACGAAATGGCTTAAAGGCTAATATCTTCATACATTTACCTCTTAATACTGTTTTGCTTCGCCCATTGAATGACGTCAAGTCGAGTCCACTGTGTGACAGCATTTACCGACGTGCGAGTTACAATCTCCGTCTTGGGCGCAACGGCACCAGTTACGTCAGCATCTTGCTTTATACCTCGATCTCCTAGTTCCTTGATCAGCGCCTTCATTGAGGTATCAAAACCGTTGCCTTCAGGATCCACATCAATGTAGAGTTTTGTGCCGATAATGGCGCCGAGCCAACCGTCTGCCTGGTAGCCCTTTTCCATCTTAAGTGGTATGATGTCTCGACGAAGTTGAAATGCATATTCAGCCTCTGTAGGAAGAATGAGCACAAAATAGGATGGCCAATAATAGTTAATTCTCATCTTTAATTTATTAATTGACATGGGGAAGGGATTATAGTTAGAGGGCGATTGAATAGTGAAAAGAGGAGTTGAAGGAATAAAGAATATATATAAGGCGGTTTTTAAGTAGAGCGAGATGCCAGTGCAATTTTTTTCTGGGAAAGTGCGCCCACCCTCTCCAGATACGCTACTGCCCAGTGGTTGTAGTTCGGGGTTCAAACGTTGATACATGTGTCAAATTACTTTTATGCACATTACGTCTTCAACTACCCAGAAAAGAGATCTTTGCATATATAATATACAACCAAACATTTAGTTAAATAACACTACCATAAGATGTAGACGTTACCTGTTCTTGCGTTTGGACTGCTTTTATATCTGTGTGAGTAACACACCAATACGACGGCTGACTCCTCCACGGCCTCTGCCATTGCTTGCAGTGTCGATCCTCCTATATTGTCAACATCCATCCACAATTCGTAGCCACATTCTTTTAGTTTGTCTCGAACTCGCAGCAAAATTTCTTGCGTATCCCATTGGTAGCTGATCATGACGTGTTTCCGTTTCTTTGGAGTTTCCTGCTCAGTTTTGATAAGCTCTTGCTCGTCAGTTGTTTCTTCATTAGATTCATCGTTGCCTCCAATTACTTGTGAGGCGTCTGTAAAGTATGGTATTAACAAATGACACGAGAACATAATTACTCAGTTGCATTAGTTTATATGTTATTACCAAACCGTTGGTTTCTTGCAATTTTATCTATAATTAGAAAGTTTACCAATAAAAGTACTGAAGACCAATCTAAATATTCTTTTATTTCCTTACGGAATTCTCTCTCAACATGTCAGTGGTGTAGGCCTACAGTAAATCCAGTCCATTACCTAATTACTTACCTATCTCTTCTACTTGTTTTATGACGGCGTCTGCTGCATTTCTAGTGTTTTGCATGTCACATTTCGATTGAGTATCCAACATATCCATCAACTCCGAGTCATCTCTCATGAGCTGCTTTGCAGAAGGATCAAAACTCAGTAACCAGAACGCATTCATGCAGATATTACTTTCCTTCACGTCACCAACTCTGACGACGGACTTCAACAAATCAATGACACCATTTGACAATAGTATGGAATGATTCGTGTCTTTGCTAGCAAGTTGTGCCAAACCCTTCAGCAAAAATGACAACTGTACCTCTGCATAGCAGTGGTCTGGAGAGTTTAGCGCATGTCGGATGGCGTCGGTCAGGGTTAGCACCAAAATTTCATCCTGCAGAAACATATCTTTACCGTCCTCAGACTGCAACTGACAGAGGCAAACGATGGCATGGACTTGTATCGTTTTGTCTGTACAACGTGAATACGGGTGAATAATTGTGCCAAGTTTGGATTTGAGGACCAAATCAATGGCGCCGTGCATTGCGCAATGATCTACTATTATAATTGATGTAATCAGAATCGATCTCTCTGATGTTTTCTAAAAGAAAATGTAAACATTATAATTTTATAAATATATTATTTTTATTTATAACTGCTCTTACCCCATACCCCATACTACAAACAAAACAAATGAAACTCAAACTTTCCTTCCTAATAAGAACAAAATAATGTGCAAAATAGTACAAGACATGACATAAAAGCTGGTTCAGTATATTGTAAACAAAGAGGAACAATATAAAATTTAAAAAATAACAAAGATTTCATTGTAAACATGTTTTAGGTGCACTCAACCTATATTTGATCAATGCTGTTTCAATCTAGAAAAACATGTATTACATTAAAATGTGAAAAGATTCAGCTTGCACATCCATCGGGATTGAGGCGTACAAGGATATGGAACGCCGTTAGTATCTTCGGTTCTGTACAATTTTCCTATTATGTGTAATCGTCATTAGATTATTCGCAATCTTCATTATGTTTGGACAGAACTAGTACAAGATACTAAAGGCGTTCCATAGAACGATGTATGGCGAGTCAAGATAGTACAAATTGATCGATAGTTTTGAGTAGTAATTTGTTGTTATGCCTGGTCACCGGGTCTTTTGTTTAATATTGATTGTTTTGTCTTATTATATTGTGCGAAACTCCTCAGTATTTCATTCATCAGGGTGAATTATAATTTTCATAACCAATTTTGATTGTTTTTTTTAACTTTCTCAGTTTTCTGGCAGATTGTTTGATTAATTTTTACCGCATCTACATTGGGTGAAGTACGCTGCGTGTATTGACAACAATATAATACCTGTACAGTTTATAGAGCCTAATATGTGTATACAGTATATGTGAATATATATATATGTACTTGAGTTTGATGCATATATATTTGCGAATTTTGTTTTAAATTAGTACTGTTTTATAAAGCTATAAAGCTGTTTGTAAATTTTGGTGCATTATAATTTTCATAACCAATGTTGATTTTTTTTATTTATTTATTTTTTTGTTTGTTTGTTTGTTTGTTTTGTTTTGTTTTGACCTAAGGACAGCAGGTCGTTCTTCTTTCTTGTCCAAAGGATACCCGTTTGCATCTGTTTCATAATTAATAATATTGACAATTTCTTGCAACTGTTTACCGTATTTATTCTGAATTGTTAGACTTCTAAGACAACTTATCTTTGCTTCTCTCACTAACTTCGTTAATCGAGGCACGACAACGTTTTTGATGTCCGGATAATCAAGGAAGCGATGTCGGATGGAGTAGTAGTGTTTTATGTCATCCATACATGTCGGTGACTTAGAAATCTGCATTTCTGTACTGGACCCAAGTTCGTTCAAATTATTATCATTATATTCCGGGTCTCCACACCGAGTGTCTACCTCCTTCTTTTCAATACTTTTGTCAGGCAAGGATGCAATTTTTGACTTACTTGCTCCAGAGCCCATGGTAAATAAATCACTTCGTCGGTTTTGACGTTAAACGCACGCAAGTATTATCTATAAAACACAACACTGCATGAGAGACAGTACAGTACAGTAAATACAATACAGTAGAACTCTGCTAAACTGGATGAATAATGCTGGTGCTTAATGCCCTCTAAAGTAATTTAAGAACACATTCTCATAATTAAATATTTTTTAAGCCAAGTAAGCCTACACTTGCTGAGTTATTATATAAACCCGTTATTAATATATATCCGTTCAATACTTCAGTTCCTGCTCAATGGCTGCTACATGGATTAGCCTCTACTAGTACAAGTGTAAAGATTGCACGCGTCACTGCTTCCGTCGGTGTTACTATGGTGATCCATAGTGGATTAAGTACACAAGGTTTAAGGCAGTGTTTCATATTCAATAAAGAATAAACATACCCTCTCATGATCAGCCAGCTCAGTACTTTTATAAAGTCCTTATAGCGCCTTCTTGTCTTGATGCAGACCTCATGGAGTTGTTGAATCAATAGGCGGGTCTGAGCGAGTCAACCAGATGCGTTTACAATGAGGGCAGACCGCTATGAAAAATGAAGTATAGTAAAGACAAATGCAACAAAATATACTGCTATCTATAAGCAATTTTGTGGAATTTGATACCTTTTCAAGGTTCTAGGCCTACTTATTAATAATGGCATTCAAGTTGCTGTCTATTGATAAGCCTGGCCAGAATCTCTATAGGCATTTTAGGCTTATTTCTTTCGAGGATTAGTTTGGTTGTTATTAAATTGCATAGAATCCAAACGATACCTTGTAGTGCGCTGTTTTACTCACTTGAATTTTTACTCTGACAAAATTGGTACAATTACTTACTGAAAATGAAATAGAACGACTTACTAGGTATTAGAAGTATAAAATAAAAGTGGGCGTAACGGGTACAAAATAATGCAATTATAGTAATACTTGCATTATTTTGTACCCGTTACGCCCACTTTTATTTTGTGTGTCTGTCTGTGTGTGTTGTTTGTTTCTTTGTGTCTATTCTCGGAATGCATTATTGTATAAATCAGGGCATGCTCGTTATAAATGCGAACTTTTTCTTCATTTATGGCTCCTCCTTAGGGCTGATCGCTGATCTTATGGGTAGGGCCCTGGGTTGAGACCTGCAAGCCACTGCTGCATTATCGCGCGTGGGCGTATACATCACTGCCTAGGAGATCCGGAGAGGCCCAACTCATGGGTGCTCGACCTAGCACCCTGCTCTGACCCCAAAACCTTTCATTAATACAAAGTAGCAGCATTGTCTCTTTGAGATGACTGTAAGGCATATATCATATTATCCAATCGGCTCGGCCCCCTAAGTTAAAAAAAAAAAAAAGCCGAGATAAGCAGAAAATTATTTTCGATTTTTGATTTCAGTGATGCTCCGCTGCCCATCTGACTATCCTCTTCTTTTCACTTCATGTGTACTGTACATACCACCTCAATCTACTTTCTCTTATCTTTTCTCTAAAATTTACAACTTTTAATTCCTGTCTTATATATTCATTTCTCATTCTCTCCTGTCTTTTCACCCCTCTAATTGTTCGTAGGCATCTCATCTCTGACTTTTCCAACTTCTTAACATGCTCTCCTTTCATTGCCCAGGTCCCTGCCCCATAAAGGGCCACAGGTCTTATCATGATCTTGTGCACCTGTGCTTTCAGTCTTATTGGCATCCGATTGTAAATCAATTCACTTACGTTCCGCCACGCATTTCCTGTCCCCCAAAGTATTGCTAACACTTCTCTATCCAGCTCTCCACCCTCGGCAACCCAGCTCCCTAAGTTTCTGACGAATTTGGTTTGCTTCAGTTACTGTCAATCAACAGTAATCTGCAACTGCTGTTCTCATGAGACCACCATTACTTCCGTCTTCCCTTTGCTCATCCGCATCCCATGAGACCACCATTACTTCCGTCTTTCCTTTGCTCATCCGCATCCCATGTGATGAGATGAATGATAAGGGCATTTCCACTCGAGCTCCTGTGAGTTCTGTTTCAGTGGTTACAGTTAGGATATTTTTTGACGTCATTCCTTTTTCAAGTTCTTTTATGTGTAAAGTGCTTAGAAACATCTATAATACAAACATTATTATAATTATTATTATTATTATTATTATTATTATTATTATTATTATTATTATTATTATTATTATTATTATTATTATTATTATTATTATTACTATTATTATAAGTAGTAGTATTAGTATTAATTGTTGATGGAGAGAAAGTCGGTAAGTTTTTGGTGAACAACTCTTTTAAGATGTTTGGAACATGTTAGAAGAACAAATAGGTCTGAGGAGATCTTACTTTAAAAGTTCAATTTCTGTGTAGCGTTTAAATTCTGTATAAAAAGTAAGGATAAAAAAATAAGCAGCCAAATTAACGTTGCTTATATTTTTTCTGTTTAAATGACTTAGCCATTGTTTTATTGTTTGTGGGCAAAGTGTGCATCTCACAATATTGTTGCTCTAGTAAATTTGACTCCGGTGTAATTAGGCCTACTAGTGATTTTTTTCCAGGGAAGGGGCCTGAAATCAGCATCTGGATCGCAATTCCTAGAGCTGTCTCTTATACACATCTAGATTTTATCTCTTAAATATTAAATTATTATTATTATCATTATTATTATTATATATATATATATATGTATATATGTATATATTTGCGTATATATAAATTATATATATGAACACATATTTGAATATATAAATCAGGATACGATGTGGAGTAAATCTTGCGGGATGCTATAATGATAGGGTGCAGGGGAAGAGCCGGTTGGACCGCAGCTTGAATCAATCTTTAATATTCTTATACCCACTCATCGAACTAATTATTTCCAGCATAACATTTGATTTTTGGGCCCTAAATTTTGGAATTCGCTGCCCTTCCATTTAGTTAACGCCTCTTCCAGTAATTTTTTTATAACCAGCTCAATTGGCTATTATTTTGTTTTTCTATTACATCCTCTAATCAATTTTTCTCTTGCTGCCTGTCTCGGTTGGACGGTCTGTAATCGATTTGTGTTGTTTTGTTTCTTTTTTTTTTCTTTTTTTTTTGGTTCTGTCTTGTTTTGTCCTGTGTTGTCTCTGTCCTTTTTTAACCTCCTCATCTTTTCTTTCTTTTTCGGCTGTCCCATCACAAGATTTGTTTTCCTCATCTTCTTTTTTGATCTGACTAGTTACCTTATTTATTTCTTATATTTACTTTATATTTATGTCTTAGAAAATTGCTGTAATTGTTTTCTGGTTTAAGAAAGTTAATAAATGTTGATTTGAATTAAATCAAACAATCAATTCTATTCTGAACTTGTAACTGTTACACCTCATGAGTGTATGATGTAATAAAGTTTCCAAAAAGTGTTTATATCTAATGAGGTTTATACAATTAACACAGATGCCAAAATGAAAATATTTTGAATGTAATGCATTTCTCACTAGTTCATTATCTTTTATTACAGTCTCTCAGGTCAGTCCATCAACAAGAAGTATGAGGTCAATGTACAATCATTGTCAGTGGAACACAATGTGTATTAAATTGACAGGACGACAATGTACTATCAACAGACGGATTTATGTGGTCTTCTGCAAATAATCGCGCGCGAATATTTAGGTTAAAGCTACTGGATCATCGAAATTGAATTAAATTTGCAAATTGTGTTTCTTGTAATCCCTGAACGATATTACATACTTAAATATAATTAGGCGTAAGGATTATAAATAATATAAGCCTATTATATTGTAAAAAACTACAATCTTTATGTTTTATTTATATTACGTTTAAATAGTTCTGATGTATCATTTCCAAATATGTAAGAAATAAAAGTTATAATATATAATTGTGTATACCATTGTGTGTACTACCTTTGTCGTAATAGTATTAATAATTATATTTCACGATATTAATCAGTATAGGTCTATAATCGAATTAAATACATTATAATCAATTCGAATAGAATATATCACACTTATAGGCTACTATATCGTATAAACACTAATATTTCTAAATATATTTACATGATACCAACAAATTACGAAATTTTCAGAGCAAGATACCGTCAGGAATTTTACAAAACAGGAATTGACTTCGGTTGCTTGGCTACAGCTCATGCATATTCAGTAACACGTGTGCTCATTTGACTAACAATAAAAACTTTTAGCTCAGTTTTGACAAAATCAACCAAAAAGATTTTATTGTTAGTCTAATAAGAACAGGTATTACTAAATATTCATGAGTATGCATGTGCATGTTGCTTAGCAACTACGTCATTTCTGGTTCTATATGTTTTGTTGAGGGCGTCCTCGAAGGGTTTTTATTGCTAGTTTATAGACAAATGGACAAAATAGCTAATATTGATGAAGCAATTCTTCACTTTTCTTTTACGCCTATAAGGATATTTTAGCTATTGCATTTATCAAAGTAAACACAGACATTGAAAAAGATGAGAACAAATTCATAATTTCATTTGATATTTATTTTCAAGCATTGAAATCAAGTTGGGATATATGTAGAGCCTGCATTTTATTATGCTGTATTCGGCTAAAATCAATAGACCTGATTT